TAGCAAGTATTAAAGAAAATTAGAGAGAGATTGTGATAGATTGATATTGATTTTGTAAGAAAATAAAAGAATGAGGGGGTATTTATAGTTAAAAATAGGAAAAAAGTATAATTATAAAAAATTTGGGGTTAAAACAAAGTTGGGGAGGTTAAATGGCTATTTTATAAATAGCCAACGGCTATTTTTTATAGCCCAACGACTGTTTTTTTTTTAAATAGCCAAATAGCTACTTTTTTAAAAAAATGAACCGTTGGGCCTGTTCGGCCCGCCAAGGGACCGGTCCGGTCCCGGTCCTAACGGTTCAAGGGCAAGAATCGGCGCACGAGACCGGCCCAAGCCCACCTTTAGCGGTCCTACCGGCCCACTTGGCATGCGGTCCCGGTCCGGTCCCCTCCCGGACCGGCCCACTTGCCACCCTTACATAAGAGTCTAAGAAAAAGTACGGAAAGGTAAATGACATAGTAGGGAATAGAGGGGGAATCCGAGGTCTGCGGATGCGGCGGATATAACTTGAAGTCTCCAAACTGTCTCTGCTCACTGATGACGTTGCTGAAAAGAAGTACCTGGATCTGCATATATATATATATATATATATATATATATATATATAGTAGAAAAAATGTTGCAGTGTAATAAGAGACAGGAATTTAACAAAGAGGAAACCACAGAAAATAACAGGACAGTACACAGGTATAGAACAGCAAGGGATCTCCCGAGATACTGTCTCGCAGTCCCAAAAGTAAATATGCAAGGGGATCTCCCGGGATACCGTCATAGTCCCAAAGTAAATATGCAGGGGGATCTCCCGAGATACCATCTCGTAGTACCAAAGTAAATATGCACGGGTGATGTCCCGAGATACCGTCTCGTAGTCCCAAAGTAAATACGCAGCTCAAAACAATGAAAATAACAGTTACAGTAAGAAATACTACAGTTTAGACTAAGTACAAGTCAAAGACAAAGCAGGAAATCCACTAAGCATGTTGCACAGAGTTCAGATAAGCATTTAAGACACGTAGACATGCGATATTAGGCTAAACAGGATAACTATAACTCAATTAAGATGAAACAGGTTATTACTCAATAAAAATCGGATTTTACAATAAATAGCCCATGTACGCACTCATCACCTCACGTACGCGGCGCTCACATATCACAACAGTACCAAATCCTAAGGGGATTTTTCCCACACAAGGTTAGGCAAGCCACTTACCTCGAACCAAGCTCAATCAATCAGTAAGAATGCCTTTTCCACGATTTTTCGACTCCGAATGGGCCCAAATCTAGCCAAAATCAATTACATGCCATAAATATAACTATAAGAAACTAATCTAATTAATGAAATTAAGACTTTAACAAGAAATTAGAAATTCGCCCCAAAAAGTCGACTTGGGCCCACGTCTCGGAATCCGGTAAAAGTCGTAAAATAAGAACACCCATTCACTCACGAGTTCACTCGTACCAAAGTTATCCAAATCCGACATCAAAATCCGAATCAAAACTCAAAAACTTAGTTAAAGAACTTTCCAACTTTTCCCCCAAATTTCTCAACCAAATTCCTTCATTAAATGATGAAATCAACTATAGAGTAGTGGAATATAATCATAAATGAGTTAAGAATCGTTACTCAACTGAAAATCTCCCAAATTATCTCCCAAATCCGAGCTCTCAAAGTCCAAAAGTGTAAAATGAGATCAAACCCTCGAAATCCCTCTTTTCTGCCCAACGATCATCGCACATACGGGACTTTAGTCGCACTTGCGACGCTGCACCTACGGAAATTCCATCGCAGGTGCGGAATTGACTTAAGACGGCTTGGTCCGCTTCTGCGATGAGTTGGCCGCACATGCGCGTGCGCACCTGCGGACAGTGGTCCGCTTTTGTGAAGTCCTCACTCATCTCGCCTTCCGCTTCTGCGATCCCTTCTCCGCAGGAGTGGCTCCGCTTCTGCGCTACTTTTGTCGCACCTGCGACCACTGGGTTCCCAGACCAGGGCCGCATCTGCGATCTCTCTTCCGCACATGCGAGCCCGCACCTGCCGCGACCTCAATCAAACATACCAACAAGTCCTAAAACATCATACGAACTTAGTCGAGCCTTCAAATCATATCAAACAACGCTAAAAACACGAATCACCCTCCAATTCAAACTCAATGAACTTTGGAACTTCAAACTTCTACAATCGATGCCGAAACCTATCAAGTCACGTCTGATTGACCTCAAATTTTGCACACAAGTCATATTCAATATTACAGACCTACTCCGACTTTTGAAATCGGAAACCGACCCCGATATCAAAAAGTCCACTTCCGGTCAAACTTCCCAAATATTCAACTTTCATCATTTCAAGCCTAATTCAGCTACATACCTTCAATTCACAATCCGGACACGCTCCTAAGTCCAAAATTACCCAGCGGAGCTAACGGAACCGACGAAACTCCATTCCGGAGTCGTCTTCATACAGTTCCAACTACGATCAAAATCCTAGAACTTAAGCTTTCTTTTTAGAGACTAAGTGTCCCAAAATACTCCGAAACCAAAAATAGAACCTCTCGGCAAGTTACATAAGAAGAAAAAGATATGGAAAAAGCAATAAATAGGGGATCGGGGCTAATACACTCAAAAGACTAGTCGGGTCATTACAGCATAACGGATGGGACCCGTGATCTCGGGAAGATATTAGTGTATTGGAGTTCGGCATCAAAGGCGATAAGTTTGTTCCGGATATATACTTAGGGGTCGTTTGGTAGGGTGCATAAGAATAATGCTGAATAAGATGTATTAGTAATGCTAGTATTAGTTATGCTTGCATTAGTTATGCTGGCATTAGTTATGCTGACATATTTCTTATCCATTGTTTGGTTTGATGTATAAAGCATTGCACAATTTCTAAAAGAATTGTTTGTTTACTAAAATGCCCTCAAAACCAGTCCATCACTCTAACTTTTTAAAAGAAACATATGTTGAGAAAGGTTTTTATATGAAAAAGTTTAAAAATAATTATTTGATTTGTCTACCTATATTGTAATATAGAACTAAATATTTATTTATAAAAAAAGGAAATACATATGCTAAGCATTTATTTATTTACTAGAGATATAATTTTATTTCTCACTATGTGAATTATTTTAAACTTGCATTAATATAATAACTAGCATATTTTAATCAAGCATAAATTTTGAAGGACAATTTTGTCTTTAACTAAGTTAATGCATGCATTAAAAGCCATTACATTGCTAATACCATGATTTTCTATGCATTAGTTATGCATAGGATAATACCAAATAGGATGTATAACTAATGTTTGCATAACTAATGCATATGTTCAAAATGTCTACCAAACAAGGTATTATTAATACATAAAGCTAATGCATGCATTATTTTATCTAATGCATCCTACCAAACGACCCCTTAGTGAATTCCCTTTCGGCCACTCTCGTTCCGGATTCGAATGAATAATTCTGGTCGTAGTTCTTCAACTCTTTCGGCTTTAACTTCCATGCTTCTAGGTATCGAACCATTCTTACTATGTGTCACTGCACAAATGGCCATGTGATGTGACCGGATTTTATCAATGCATCCCCTTCTTTTTCCCTATTATTTTTTGTCTTTTCTCATTTCTATTAGCAAGGTAAAAACGGAAAACGAACAGAAAGTTTAGGGAAATAAACAGTCAGTTGTTGAAATATTCTCGAATAAAAAATAAAATAAAAACAAGACCAAGTAACAAAAAATAAAACAAAATAGAGAGAAAGTTAGTAAGATAGGAAAGAAAAGCAAATATAAGACTTCGACCATAGCGCCTGCCACAAAAAAAAAGGTTTTATTTTTCTTTCAGTCGTATGTTTGAATTGTAATCTCTTAGTTTTAATTCACGCGACACTTTTTTTTCCAATTTTTTGAAAAACAATAACAAATTTTTATATGTAAAAGTAATATAATTTTAAACTTTTTTAATTTTCTCTTAATAATTTAATTATATAGCTATATAATATATATGACATATTTTAGATTAAAAGTTTTAAAAGTCTTTTATTTTTTTTAAACTCTACAATCGGTCATCATTTACACATAAAATAGTCAAGATTTTTTTTTAACTCAACAATTTTAATAGTATGTTATTTGTAAGAGAACACTATAAACATGCAAAATGCATATGTAGAATGAGACTTAAGAATAAAGTATTAAAAAAATAAATAGACATAAGTTGTTATTACACCTGCTATAAGTTGCATATATCGTGTTATTTATAAGTAGCATATACCAAATGTTATTTAATTTATAAGTTGTATTTGTGCAATTTATAACTTGTATTTAGTGGATGTAATGTATAAATCGCATGTATCGAATGCCCTTAGTCTTCCATTGTCGATTCTCAATTGGATCCTTATTCGTTACCTATATATTCTTTCTAAAATTTTAGCTCTTGATTCATAGTTCTCTGATATAGAGAGAACTCTACAAATGAAGAGTTACTTTTTAAAAAGGAAATTGTACATAACTAATAAGGAAGTTAATAATAGAACCAAAGAAAAACTAAAGCGTCTTTATTAGTGATCATAAGTTGCATCAACAAATGGACTAATAAATTACATTACGCATATGATTTATGATTTGTAATAATACAACAAAAATAACATATTCAGTGTAATCTCATAATAATTTTCATTTATTCTTTTTATTATAATTTATTTTAAAATTGTATTATATGAGTGCGTTTCGTATATTTTGATATTTCTTAAGAAGCAATACGCCATTGAAATTGTTGAGCCAAAAAGTAGACATATTGGGAAAAGAGTAGTTTTAAATAACTTATTTTGATTAGATTTTCAGTTTTTCTAATCCAAGATGAAAAAGAAAAACTAATCCAAATTAAGGAGAAAACGAAAAGGCAAGAAAACATGGTATTAACACGTGCATGGCATGAGGTGTCCACCGCCTAACGGAGACTCTTCTTTTTCCAAATATAAAAAGAGAAAATAGATCTTTTCTATATTAATTAACTTTCCGTCAAAATTCCATGCTTATATTCAGGTCCGAGTTTTATATGCAATTTCGTTCCAACTCTTCTCTCTCCCACAAAGGTTCGTAACCCTTCACAATTTTTAACCCTACTGATTTATTAGCGTTTTCGAATCGATCAATCTCTCTTTGTTTCACCGCTGTTTCATGTTGTTTTAATTTATTTGTGCTTACATGGTCTATTTCTTCTTTTTGCTGCAATTTCGTAGATTTTTCTTGATGGTTTGCCGACGTTCTATTTTCTTTTTGGTGTCTTTTCATGTGTTAAGATATTCGTTACTCTAGTTTACCGCTTTCTTAGATTTCACGGATAAAGGGCATGATTATGAGATTATTCGTACAGCTGATACCATCTATTTTATAAGGAGAGTTGAATTGATGTGTGTTTTTTGTTTTTTTTTAAATCGTCCTGTTAGAAAAGATTATATTTTTAGCGGTTCTCCTTTATTCATCACAAAACAGAAAAAGAGCGTTTTCAATTCTGATCTTTTAGGGTCCTGGACAAAACTGGACTTTTTTTTTGTTTTTAGTTTTAGTTGTTAAATTCTAAGAAATCTGTGAGTAAGAGCTAGTTTGAAGTTCACTTGCAGAAGATGCAAATAATGCTTAAGGATTTTTTGACCTTTTTGGAACACTGTCATTGAAAACTATGAGGAATTGACATGCATGCTTTGTCGGTTGTTTAATTCATGCGTGTAAAGTGTAATGCCTTTTAGAATTAGATAACAGCTTATTATAAGTGTAATTCAGAGGAAGATGTTGTAATTTCACAAATTTCGTGTTTCAAGGCAAAGTTTTGATCTTTATGGGTGATACAAACTAGGATGTAATGGTTGGCCTTGTTTTCGGTGTTAATGGGTGTATTTTGTATGCCATTGATTATGGTAATTTATTTTTATCTCCTGTTTCAAGTCAAAGTTTTGTTTTTTATCTGTCTGATATAGTAAGATGTGTTGGTTTCTGTTGTTATTGGTGTCAATTGTAGTAATTTTTTGGCCGTTAATCCTGGTTAAATTCTTTTATTGGGAAGGTAGTGTTGTCACTTAGGTTTGGAACTTCATTGTCTGTTGTTTTGCCAATATTATGTAATAGGCCTGATTGCCTTTGCACTTCCAGGAGCTGCACTGGGAAGGAAACCACCTATTCTGTTTATTATATATATATATAATTACAATTTCTGTGAAAGAAGTTTTGAACTGTGATCATCTTCGATAATATTATGCTAGTATCTTGTTATATACGCATTATACTGATTTGTTTAGATTTCTTTTGCAGTGAAGTCGGTCTGAAATTCGTAATGGCTTCAAAGAGGATTCAGAAGGAACTGAAGGACTTGCAGAAAGACCCCCCTGCTTCTTGCAGTGCAGGTATATGTGAATGTGACTTGTGCTGCTTAATCTCTCTTTATTACCATGTTATTGACATCCCCTATGCACTTTTTTTTTGGGTAACAACTGTGAATATTACCATACCAATAAACATAAGCAACAAATACACCTAAAGAGCACCTAAGCTCACAGCCCTTCAGGAAGATTGTTGTGAAGAAAACTTAGGCCTCCATCATAAAAACTAATTACGAAGGAAGTCTTTGGATCAGTCTATTACAACTTCTAGCTTTCCTACTCTGCTTAAGTAGATCTAACCTTTCTACAATTTCCTTCTTAATGACTTAATCTGTGCCAAAACTACCTCAATATGTACTCTAATTCTTGAAAATTTTCGAGTTTCTTGCCCTCCAAGTATGGTAAATGATTGCTCCCCATATAGCAGCCACAGTTTCTTTTGTGAATTGGTTACGGTGCTTCCTTCTGATCATTTCAATAATCCTCTGCACTTCCCCAGCTTTAGTTGCATGCCCAACCAGCTAGATAGCTCATTTCGTAGCTGCTTAGTCCAAGCACATTCTGGAAAAGGTGGAGACATGTATTTGCCAGTCTGTGCAGTACATAGGCAGCATTCAGCAGAATCAACATGAATATTCAAATGTCTGAGCAGCCAAAGAAGAAATCTATGTTTTGGTTGAGCTATTGCTGTCCAAACTAAGTCATTTATCCCCTCTGCACCTGTTCCTTAAGAAACTTGTCTTCTTTTGATGTGTTGGATACATTTATCAGAGTGCTTAGAAATAATCTGATATCTTTTTCCCCTAGCCTCAGATGCAGTCATTACTTTCTGGTCACTTTATCTTCTTCTTCTTTCTTTCCTTCTCTTTCTATCTTCTTTTCTTGTTTCGTTTTGGGGGGTTGGGGACGTACACGCCGAGTAACAGGTGACAATTTTTTGGCTCTGTTAATTTCTTGGTAATCTTTGTGCACTCACTCTGGAATTTTTGAAAATTGGATAATATTAACTTAGGGTATCATCTTACACTAAAAAAATTGGTTTGCAACCTTTCTTTGCAGGTCCTGTTGGTGAGGATATGTTCCACTGGCAAGCTACAATTATGGGTCCATCTGACAGCCCATTTTCTGGGGGTGTTTTCCTTGTGTCTATCCATTTTCCCCCAGATTATCCATTCAAGCCCCCAAAGGTAGGTTTAAAATCTGACAAATATTATGTGGAAAGATTTGGCTCTTTCGTGTATTATGTCTTCTTTGTTTCTGTAGAATTTTTCTTGCTCCTATTAGCAACTTCCCAAATTTAAATTCTGCATCACGAATAGTGCTTTCGCATTCCTAACCTTACCGATTCTTTTTCTGCAATACATTAAAACTATTTAATGTATTATGCAATACATTACGAATAGTGTATTATGTCTTCTTTGTTTCTGTAGAATTTTTCTTGCTCCTATTAGCAACTTCCCAAATTTAAATTCTGCATTACGAATAGTGCTTTCGCATTCCTAACCTTACCGATTCTTTTTCTGCAATACATTAAAACTATTTAAAGAAAGAGTCTTCTGTAGCAGACATATTCGTATGATATGTTAGATCGGTTAACTTGCTAGATAACTTAATTTCCAATGTTTGGCAAGATGGTAACAAAGGAAGGATTACCCATGTTCCCTATAAATATAAATAGAGAACGTTATACTTTTCTTTTGTAGCCTCCTGTACATATAGGTCTCACCATATCACATCCCAGTGAGCAGTGGGAAATGACCTTGGACCATGATCGGTCTAGATATCCATCCACAAACTTTGAGATGGAGTAGTATGCTGGTAAAAGTATTAGACTAATGCAGAAATGAGGGCTTCAAGCAACCTAGGCCCTAGGGTTGTACGAGATTAGGTATCCTTGGCCTTGATCAATAAGCAACAAGAACAACATACCTAGTGCGCTCCCACAAGCGGGGTCTGGGAGGGTAGTGTATGCAGACCTTACCATATCTAGTGAAAGTAGATAGGCTATTTCCGGTAGACCCTCACTCAAGAAAAACATGTAAAGAGAAGAATGCATGTAAAGAGAAGAATGCATGTAAAGAGAAGCAGTAACCACAGCTAGAAAAATAAGATAACCCAAGCCTGGCTCAATAAGAATAAGCCTGTTCTTTTATTTGCCCTTGACATGATTCCTGTGGTCCTTGCTTTAAACTGATTTATGCCCAATTTTCATTAAATTGGAAAACTGATTCCCGTAGTATCTTTGGAGTGTCTAAATAAGCGAATGTAAATGCGATTTCGTATTTGTTAGGTCTGTCGTTTTATTAGTAAATACCAGCAAAAAGCCAGTTTACTTGTGCATTCGTCACTCTTTATTTGTCTCAAGGCACCTGGTTCCCGTGATTGGACTTTCTACATTACTTTATTTTGGCTTGTGCATTTAGTAGGTTGCCTTCAAAACCAAAGTATTCCACCCAAACATCAACAGTAATGGTAGTATTTGTCTGGACATCCTAAAAGAACAATGGAGCCCCGCCCTTACTGTATCCAAGGTAAAGTAGTACACACTTCTTGGCTTTCTAAAGCTTCTGCTTTATGTATACATTTTGGTGATGGTTAAGCTGGGAAATCGCAGGTGCTACTTTCCATTTGCTCCTTGCTTACTGATCCAAATCCAGATGATCCTTTAGTGCCAGAGATTGCTCACATGTACAAGACTGATAGAGTGAAGTATGAGAGTACTGCTAGATCTTGGACCCAGAAATATGCCATGGGATGAAAACATTTGGCTTTACTCCCATGAACATCGGGCCTTTATGCTATAGTAGTAAATAAAAATAGGCGCGGAGCACAATTTTCTGATATTGGTGTCTTTTGCTATCTGACATTTTGTCCTCTTTTGTTTGACTGGTTAAATATTTATCATCTGGTAAAATCAGATTTCTTATCATATGGAGATATTTCGTTTGTGTTTTTAACATGGTATCAAGAATTTATGGCCCGCTACCGGCCCAAAAATTTTTCATCAGACTCTACCCCTTTTTCCAGCCTTTAATTTGGGCTTGGGCCGTTTCTCAGCTGCCGACTTAGAGTGAGTGCAATAAGATGCTATTGATAGTGTAGATGGAAGTTTTTGTTTTTGCCTTTGAAGAAATATCTATTTAGACAGAAAAAGAGAAAAAAAGGGGGGAATGTTACAAGCTACACATGGTAAGAGGAAAGTTGGCATGTAGAACAAGACTCTAGTAAGAAGAAACTTGGTTGTATTCAGCAGAAGATGAAAGGGATCACACCATCCTATGACTGGACCACAAAAGAAAGGTCATTTTCAGCTTTGTAATTCTTACATTTCTATGTATATAAAACATACCATAATATTTAAATATCTTAGCTTGTTTCCCAGTTTAGCACAAAGCAAAAGGAATAAGCACAAATGTAGTTAGATGCATTGAAATAGCTCTGTGGTCCATCTTCTCTATCAGAGTTTTGTCATATTTGCGTAGACAGCTATATGAGTAACATTACAAGGATATAAGGGCGATAGATTCAGATTGTCCTTGGGTAAAAAGGGAGGCAGAAAGAACTAGTTGAGACGTCCCTTTACGAGCAAACTGTGTTTGTAATTGTAGTATAGTAAAACCATCTCGCCATATTCATTTTGTTTTTTCCAAATGTCTTTTCCTCTCCTTCCAACTTTTGACAACCGTATTCAATACCTCTTTTTATAGTTTGATTCTTGGTTATGTTATTTCAACCTTCTTTTTGTTACATACCAGTTTACAATAGGCACCTATTTATGACGACTTCACCAAAGTGATTCATAATTTCTTTATGACTTACCATTATTTATGGAATATTTAAATGAGAGGTTTGTAACTCTTTCCTTAAAAAAGTTCTTTCTAGCTCAAAGAATTAATTTGTTCTCTCTAATTTTAAAAAAAAAAAATAGCTGATAAAAGTGAGGCGCTTTTGTTAAATGATTATGGTTGAGTAGATCAATTGTTAAGAAGTAACTTTTTGTCTCTAGAAAGATGAGTTTAAATAGTAGTATTATTTTACCTTTCATAAGGACAAATTGGAAGATCAGAGAGAAATGAAAAAACTTGTCTTCACCTTGTCGGTTGTGAACTTCACGACAATATTTTAAGGTAGGAAACACCCCAAGGGGCCGTTTGGTGAGGTGTATGAAAATAATGCTGAATAGGGTGTATTAGTAATGCAAGGATTAGCAATGCATGGATTAGTAATGCAAGCATTAGTTATACAAACATTATTTTTTATACACTGTTTGGTGTGGTGTATTAAAAACTAAAATGCATTGCATAATTTTTAAATAAATTAGTTGTTTACAAAAATGCCTTCTATATTCTTTAGCTTAAGGGACTTTAAGGATAATTTTGTCTTTAATCATGCAAATGCATGTATTAATAGCCTTGGTATTACTAATATCATGGTTTTCTATGCATTAGCTATACAAAGGATAATACAAAATAGGGTGTATAACTAATGCTTGTATTAGCTATACATAGGTTGAAAAAGTGTGTCACGACCCAATTCTATCATAGGCCGTGATGACGCCCAACACCATTGTTAGGCAAGTCAACACTGATCAAACTAGGAATTTTCTATTTAAATAAATTACTAAGTGGATAGTAATTCTTCATTTGTTAAAAAGATTTAAAAATTTACCAATGGAACAAAGTTAAACAGAAGTAACGAATACAGCCGTAATCATGTATACAGTACCAAAATTATAAGTCTACTAGTATGTGTGTCAAGACCTGGTGTCACAAGTATGTTGGCAATCTAGTAGAATGTACAAAAGAACACTAGCCTACTATCTGAAAGAAAATAGACAGAAAAATAAAGCATAAGAGAGGCTCCAGCTGCTGCAGAACGGCTCAAAAGGCAGCTCACCGTGAAATCTCGGAATAGGGATCAAATCTGCGCGCCGGACTGGTGGCCAAATGCACCTGCCTCAAATCCTGTACAATTAAGTACAGAAATGTAGCGTGAGTACATAAAAATATGTACCCAATAAGTATCTAGTTTAACTTCGAAGAAGTAGTGACGAGGGGTCGACTCCGATACTTACTAGGGCCAAGAATATAATAATACAAAACACTTCCTTCATTTAAAACAATGATCTCTCAACAATGAATTTATACAAGTTATAAAAGGGACTTCCAGATCTTATTATCACACATAAATTCCACCGAGGGCGTACGGCCCGATCCAACATAAATGTAAAACGTGCACTGCCGAGGGTCGAACGGCCCGAACCATAGATGCATCTATTAACCTGCCGAGGCGAACGGCCCGTTCTCATGAGAGTAGTGGAAAAAGTCAACCCGCTCGCGGAATATACTTGCGACGCGGTTAAATATAAATATAACGTAACTTTTCTTAATTCTTTTCACAAAAAGAATTTACTTGAAACCTTTGAAATCTTAACATCCTCAACTTAGTTCCATTCAATGCAAATCAACAAATATGATCAGATAACGATGTCCACAAAGCATGGTGTAAGCCTAAAACTACCCGGACATAACAGGAATAGTAGCTATGTACAGACTCGCATCACTTCGTGCGTACGTAGCCCCCACACATAATCACATATTAATTAAGTTCACCTATGGAAAAATTTCTCTCTTACAAAGTTAGAAAAGAGATTTACCTCGTCTCAAAGCCTACTTCCAACTCGAGAATGCGCTCAAACCCTCAAATTGGAGTCGAACAATCCAAAGCTATTCAAATAGTGTAAAAACTAATCAATATATGTTCAAAAGTTCATATTCTAACTATTAAAGTGATTACCCAACCTAAAAGGCAAGATTTTGAAAATTCACTCCCGAGCCCACGTGCCCGAATCCCGGAAATTTTTGAAGGAAATTGTTACACATAACCTTAGGAACATAAATATATAATTTTTACTAAGTTCCATATCATTTTCGTGGTAAAATATCATTTTTATCAAAACCCTAGGTTTTCACCTAAACCCATAATTTCTACCAATTTATATGTTATAATCTACCCATAAACTATGTATTTAACTCACTTTGTATGGGAATCACATACCTCAAAGTGTTGGTGAAATCCCCTCTCTAAGAGCTCCAAAAATCGCCAAACAATGGAATAAAATGAGTCAAAAATGCCTAAGTCCCGTATTAAATGAAGGCTACTGCCCCCGGCGATTTTCGCATCGCGGTCATAGGACCGCATCTGCGGTCCCGCTTCTGCGAAAATGCCCTGGGTCGGGTGGCTCACATCTGCGGTCGGGTAACCCCTTTTGTGGTGCCGCTTCTGCGGAGTAGGGCCGCATCTGCGGAACCTGGCCTGCCCTTCCTTGGCCGCTTCTGCAATGCTGGGCCCGCACCTGTGAGCTCGCACCTGCGGCTGACCAAGCGGTGGTGCGTTTATGACAGATTTAGGGAGCTTCAGCTCATGCTCCAAGTTTCCAACTTGGTTTGAGCCTCGTCCGATTGACACTCGGGGCCCCTGTGGCCCCGTCCAAACATACCAACAAGTTTGGAATCATAAAACGGACTCGCTCGAACTCTCGGAACGCCTGAAACAACATTAAAACTAAGAATCACACCCTAAAATCAATTGAATCAAACTTAAGAACTTCAAATTCTTCAATTTACTTCCGATGCGCCGGAACGTACTTATACTACTCGAAATGAAACCAAATTTTGCATGCAATTAAAACATATTACGGAATTATTCCCGATCTCGGAATTCAATTCGAACCTCGATATCACCAAAACCCGCTCCAAACCAAATTTAAAGAACTTCAAAATCCTTCAAGAACCAACTTTCATTATTAGGCGCCAAAACGCTCCCGGGTCATCCAAAACCCGATCCGAACATACGTCTCAAGTCTGAAATCATCATACGAACCTATTGGAGCTGTCAAATTCCGATTCCGAGGTCGTTTACTCAAAATATCGACCGAAATCAAACTTGCCATTTTAAGCCAACCTTAAGGAACCAAGTGTTCCGATTTCAACCCGGACTCTTCCAAATCCCGAACGAACCTTCCCGGCAAGTCATAAATCAGTAAAAGCAAGTATGGGAAGTCTTATTTAGGGAAACGGGGTTCTAGAAAGCAAAACGACTGGTCGGGTTGCTACAAAGTGTATCAAACAAAGTATTACTAATACACAGAGCTAATGCATGCATTATTTTCTCTAATGCACTTTACCAAATGACCTCTAAGTCTTCATTTGACAGTATACTGATACAAAAACCAAAATTAAGCGATTGTATGTTGGTAGAAAGTCAAATTAGTAGAAAAATCTCGTCCATCTAGACTTTTTTGATAAAATAAAGATTAACTTGTTCAAAACTGACTTTGGGAGTAAAAGTAGGAAGAATATCGATGCAAAAGCTGATTAATCAGAATATAGTCATAAAGAAACAAGGCATGTGATGGTGGTCAGGTCTAAGGAGTGGCATGTTCTGCCCCAGTTGAAAAGGTACGTCACTGGACAACAGAATGCTGGCCAAAAAAAGGACAAGAGAATGAGCTTATTATTTTTCAAATAATATACTTCCGCCGTTTCAATTGATGTGAACCTGTTTGATTGGGCACGGAATTTAAGAAAAAATAAGATTTTTGAAATATGTGGTCCTAAACAAGTCAAAAAGGGGCCTAGAGCATTTGTGTGGTTATAAAAATTTCTCATTAAGGGTAGAATTGTAAGTTTAAGCTAAATTATTTTCAAATTTAGAAAGGAGTTATTCTTTTTTGAACGGATCAAAAAGAAAATAGGTTCACATAAACTCGAATGGAGATACTGCATTACTTTGACTACTAAGCTATTTGGAAATTTTACTTAGCTCCAGTTTAAACATCGATTTTGGCCACTTTTTTTCAATTTTTTAAAACAAAATTTATTCAATTTTTAAAAAAAAATTTAAAAAGAAGTTTGCAAATTCCAAAAATTGATTTGGTCATTTTTTTGGGTGAACCACTGGTTGCAAATCTAAATTAGTTAGACGAGTGAATTTTGAATGATATGG